AGATAATAGAATAAATAGAATAGAGAATAGATTAGATTAGATTAGATAATAGAATAAATAGAATAGAATAGAGATTAGATTAGATTAGATTAGATAATAGAATAAAGAATTGAATAGAATAGACCAGACCTGGAAGGGACCTTGGAGGTCTTCTAGTCCATCCCCCTGCAGGGGACCCTGTACCAGTTCATACGTCAAGGACTATCCGAACGGAAGGGTTTTGAAATTTCAACCTTGCTCTCTTATTTATTGTCCTGCCCGTTTACCTATTTCGTCATCCATACAGTAGCCAGAGGACAGGTGAATAATCTGCCAATAGAATTAGCCGTTTAAAACTTGTTTGGGCCCATTTTGCAAGGAGCGGGAAACTAATACCGTTGTAATATCTTCATCGGTATTCCTTTGTGGGAATAATCGGTTATCACCACCCCCTAATATGTGATAATGTGTTCGTGGTTGGTTTTTTTAATGCACGTTTTTGAATGTTTTGCATTTTGTTTGTCTTCTCCCCCCCCCCCAAAATTGGGAGTATTGTGTTTTATTTTTTAAAAAATAAAATAAAGATAGACTAGAAGGGGGAAAAAATGCTCTTTCCCCCATGCTGCCGAGTTTCCCCCTCTGATTTACCTCAAGATGCAGCCCGGAAAAAGGATCTCGTATTCCAGCTGCTGGGAAGAACCCCGATTCACCATTAACGAATGCTCATATTTTTGCTTCAGCTGATTTCGCACGTAGTATTTTGGGGGGACGTCTCCGCCGAGGCATATCTAGAACACAGAACAAACGGAGATCAGGAGCCGCCAGAAGAAAAACCTACCTCTGTGTTTTGCAACCTTTAAGATGTGCAGACCTCAGCGCACAGAATTCCCCAACCAGATCTCCTGGGAGTTGAAATCCACCCATCGTATAAGTTGTCAAGCTTGAAAAAGACTCTAGAAAGAGTGTGAAGAAGAGCAACCAAGAGGATTAGGGGACTGGAGGCTAAAACATAGGAAGAACAGTTGCAGGAACTGGGTATGTCTACTGTGATGAAAAGAAGGACTAGGGGAGACAGGAGAGCAGTCTTCCAGTATCTCAGGGGCTGGGAGAGGGAGTTCAGAGGAAGACCCAGGCCCACCCCCTCTTCATCCTAGGGCACACAGGGAGGAACGGAGAAGGGAGCAACATGGTTGTGTGGCTTACGGGGGGAGGAAAGGGCCCTGATTCCCTTCATTAGCTGCAGCTGGGAACACAGTGTTTAAAAAGGGAAGCTGCGTGCAGCAAACTGTTGGGAGCAAATTGCGAATGATCTGGTATCCTCGAGGCTTATCTGTGTTCCTGGCGTCTTCCCAGCTGTGTGCGTTTTGCTGGCCTTTCAAGTCAGCAATTCCTCCTCCTGCCCTGTCACGTTAATTACTGCCGCGTGGTTTGTGTGGATTTTTAGTTACAGTCTGTATTTTGTTTTCGGACTGAATTTCCTCCACTTAAAGGCTGTTCTGGGAGAGTTTTTCTCCAGCTGAAGGTAACCTGGACACTGGGGACAAAGTTGGAGATAATAAAGGGACTCTTCTTGCTTATTTGACTGTGTTGCTTTTGTGCCGTGCCCCATTTGGGTCATCACAAGAGCTGGAAGGGACCATGGAGGTTTTCTATCTAGTCCAACCTGCTGCTCAATACCATTTCAGACAAGTGGCTTTCCAGTCTCTTCTTAAAAACCTCCAGTGATGGAGAACTCGCCACGTCTGAAGTTTTTGGTTAATGGTTAATTGTCCTCACAGTTAGTATCTCCTCCCTTCCTTCATTCTGTAAATGGTGGCTTTAGCAGCCACATTTTCCAACTGCCAGCAGCTAATTTTGCAAACGTTTCTGGTTTTAAGTGACCGATAAATATTCCATACCTTGGATTCACATTTGGGGTTCCCATCGGGGTCTGTGAGAGTCCCCCCATACATCATGGGGATCTCTGCAGGGTCAATGTATTTTTGCAAGTCTTCCTTCCAATTTGCTAGGGGAAAAAAAAGAAGTTAAAAATGATGTGCTTGGTTGGACTGATGAGTAGCTCCAAACCATTTTGAACCTTTACAAAATCACAGCAACAGAACCAAAACCAACGTTAAAAAATGCAGGCGGTGAAGTTTGGAAATGCATTAAGGGACAATGGTAACCTTAGCTGAGCTCACACGGTTTTAAATAATTCGTGTTTAGAGCATTGTGTTCGACAGAAATGACTTACTAGGTACTACATTGTTAACATAACTTAAAAAAATTAAAACCAAGTAAGTATAAAAAAGGGAAAAAGTGCAACCATCACTGCTGTGTTAGAAACAGGAAATTAAATGAGCAAAGTGCAATAATAATAATGATGATGATATTAATAATAATATAAACAATGCAACCCACCTCCCAAGATAATTAACTTCTTCCGGGTATCTTCACTCAGAATGTGCTTCACCATGTTGTAAGCTATGGGGAACAGTCTTGGAGCTGTATGATGGACAGGAGAAACAAAGGTTTATGTTGAGGGATAAATGACATTTTTTTTCTGCAGACAAAAAGCATATTCCAACAGGGAAGGACTAAGACTCACCTTTAATGACAAATAAATGTTTAAGGCACTCGGGGAAGTTATCTTCGAACATGGCAAGAAGCTGGAAATGTAGAGAAAGAATTAATTTGCAACAGTTTATAGTATGACAGATCATGATTTAATCATAACCCACCTTATCAGCAGGATCCAAAACTGAATTGGGACATCAAGGATATAAAGCGGCATTGGTGACCCTTGGCCCCTTGAAGTTATGTGGACTTTGACTCCCAGAATTCCTGTTGTTTTAAGATACGTGGACTTCAACTCCCAGAATTCCCTGATCAGCACAGATGACCGAGGAATTGTGGGAGTTGAAGTCCACACCTCTTAGAGTTGCCAAGGCTGAAATACACACATGTGAACTTTAACTCCCAGAATTTTTCAGACAGAATGCTTTGTTTTTGCAGGGACTTCCAACTCCCAGAATTCCCCAATAAGCCTGTTTGAAGTTGTGTGGACTTCAGCACCCAGAATGTATGGCCAATGTTGAAAACTACCCGAGGTCTTTGCCCATCTCTCACCTCTATGTAGACATCAACGCCCGGCTTCCAAAGATGCTTCAAACCGAGCCCTTCAAAATCATAAACCATTATGATGTTGTCAATTGTTTTCCCCAGCTTAAGAAAAAGGGAGAGAGAAGGGAAGAGGGAAGGACGGGAGGTGAAAAATTAAAGACACGAAATAGGAACAGCAGCAGTCACATTTTTTACCCCTAAAGCTTTGAAGAGAATAACAGAGTTGGAAGGGAACCTTGGAGGTCTTCTAGTCCAACCCTCTGCCTAGGCAGGAAACCCTACACACCACTTCAGACAAATGATTATCCAACATCTTTTTAAAAACTCGCAGTGTTGGAGCATTCCCTGTAGGCAGGTTGTTCCACTGGTTAATTGTTCTGACTGTCAGGAAATATCTCCTGAGTTCGAAGTTGCTTCTCTCCTTGATTAGTTTCCACCCGTTGCTTCTTGTCCTGCCTTCAGGTGCTTTGGAGAATAGCTTGACTCCCTCTTCTTTGGGGCAGCCCCTGAGATCTTGGAAGACTGCTATCCTGTTTCCCCTAGTCCTTCTTTTCATTAGACTAGACATGCTCAGTTCCTGCAACCTGTCTTCCTATGTTTTAGCCTCTAGCCCTCTAATCCTCTTTGTTGCTCTTCTCTGCACTCTTTCTAGAGTCTCAACATGTTTTTTACACCGTGGCGACCAAAACTGGATGCAGGATTCCAAATGTGGCCTTACCAAGGCATTATAAAGTGATATTAACACTTCACGTGATCTTGATTCTATCCCTCTGTTTATGGAGCCTAGAACTGTGTTGGCTTTTTTGGCAGCTGGCTCATATTTAAATGGTTGTCCACTAAGACTCCGAGATCCCTCTCACAGTTACTACTATTGAGCCAGGTACCACATATACTGAATATACAGAGAATAAAGTATGTGGCCCTAATGCCCAGGGTGGGGTCCAAAGCCCCATCTCATTTAGATCCCCATGTTTGAACCCAAATTGAACGCTGCTATCCTGTCACCCCTGGTCCTTCTCTTCATTACATTATACCCAGTTCCTGCAACTGTTCTTTGTAGGTTTTTCCCCCCCAAAGTCTCAACATCTTTTTTGTAGTGTAGTGACCAAAATTGGTTGCAGGATTCCAGGTGTGGCCTTACTAGGGTTTTATAAAACGGCACTAATATGTCTTGTTGTCTGGTGCTTTGGAGAATAGCTTGACTCCCTCTTCTTTGGGGCAGCCCCTCAAATACTGGAAGGCTGCTGTCATGTCTCCCCTGGTACTTTCCTCATTCCTGCAACTATTCCATATATGTATTAGCCCTCAGGTGCCTTTTGATCAGGAACCCTAGCATTTTTATTCAATTTTACTTCACAATGAATAAATCCCATGGCCTGCGAAAATAATAATAATTCAGAAGCCTCTGGATCATCGCCTCCTCTCTTACTCTTTTGCTCTGTTCGTTGCATATGTCCCGCATAAATTCGCAGTCCTGGAATTTTTTTTTGAGGAAGTCCTGTTTCGAAACAGAGAAGAGCAGTCCTTTGGGATCGAGGGTCCCAACGATCTCGTAGCGAACCGGGTAGCCCTCCCGATCGAAGCCACAGGTGCCTCCAGACATGTACTTCTGGATGACCTGCGATGAGAAGCAGACTGCCAGGTGAGAGAGGCCAGTCTCCAAGGGACGTGCAATCTCCACCCACCCCTGCCACCCCCTTATCTGCACTGCCCCTCACAGCTGATTTTCGGCTGGTTTGAGGCCTTTTTCGGAGTCCCAGAGGCTTGGGGAAGGGTTCTGCAGGCTTTTCAGGCTGAAAACTAGGCCCATTTCATCACTTCCGGTATTTCCGGAAAGACAGGAAGTGACGAAATGGGCCTAGTTTTCAGCCTGAAAAGCCTGCAGAAGCCTTCCCCAAGCCTTTGGGAGTCTGAAAAAGGCCTCAAACCAGCTGATGATCAGCTGTGAGGTGCACGCATGCGCAGTGAGGGATATTTGAAACAATAAAAGGGAGGTTTGACCTGCCAGCAGCCAGTGTTATCCCTGTGCCGTGCCCCAAGTCATCACACACGCTTTTTGAGGTGACTAAGATGGCGCACCATGGAAGCTGAGAGACGGGGGTGATTGTACCGTTCTCGGGAGGAACCGGCATCACCTTGAGATCACCTGAGACTCACCTCTGGGGCTTCCCATTCCTTAATGTGGTCACAATCCATATACTTGCGCACCTGCACATGCTGTTTCCCAAGAAACGAGAGAACAAGCAAAAAGGGATGAGAATGAATGAGCGATCGTTCCAAGTTATAACCGCACTGAAAAAAAAGTGACTTGTAACCGTTTTTCACATGATCGTTGCGACGGTTAATTTTAACACACGAGGCAACGCCAACCTGTTTGCTTAGTTCGTAGTTCAATGTGTTGCAGTGTGGTGCGGAATGAAGTCTGGATTCCCAGAGGGAGAGAGGAGGAGCCAAAAACAGCAAAGTTTAGATAATTTGAGTGGGAGGAGATAAGAGATAAAGAGATAAGGCGGCACCTCCCTGGGAGTTCCCAGACAGTATATTTTATGGTGCAAGTAGTTTGGCAAGATTTCTGCCTTAAAGTGAGGAAAAATTACGGTTTTTAATAAAGGTTTCCAAAGAGTCTCAGTGTATCTTTCGTGGTTTGGGGAGACTGACATGCATGGACCAAAAAAGAACCCTGTATCCAAGCTAGTCTACAAACACAGCCTACTAGTAAAACTGGCCGTTTGCTAGGTGTTCCTGGTCCCATGTGCACAAAAACAAAAAATAAGCCGAGCGAGTTGCTTCTTACCTTCCTGATCATGGCTTCCGACTTTTGCAGGTCAAAACATCGGGCTGAAAGAAGAACACCACGGTTAGGAATAAAACATCACCCTGGACCATCCCAGAGGCACCGACGGTGGGAATCCTCTGGCATGGCACCTGTTGTATGACTTCCCACCCCTTTGAATAGGGAAGAGTTCTCCCATTGATCAAGTACAACTGCCAACTCATAAAACATTTCTATGGTCTTTTTAGAGTTGCCGACAGAAAGGGAGGAAGGAGCAGTGTAGCAGCTTGGAACCAAAAGTGCATTCCATAAATGTTTTCAAAGATAGTTTCTAGGTGACGGAAGTTTCTGCCGCACAAAATTCTAACTGGAGGGCATGATTGATGATTCTTGGCGATGGATGCGTCCCACTGGAGAATATGAATTACGATACACCCAGGGGAGGAATATGGGAGGAAACCAGGGTCAAAGGTGATAATGAATTATTTGTCTACACCAGGCGGTGCCGGACAGGTTAACTCCCAATAAATCCTTTTGAAGTTCTGGAAGTTCGTCTAGAGACTCATGATTTAATTGGGGGAACTGCCAGAATCCTGCCAACGACAGCTAGATTTGAATCAACATCCAAGAGAGCAATCAAGTTGTCACTTTATTTACCTTTTGTTAAGCTTGGGCTCACTTTAATCCCTTTAAACATGGCAGCATTGGAAAGCTATCCAGAGTCACTCTGGCCAGTGAGAGAGGCGGCATATAAATTTAATAAATGCATAAATAAACGTAGGGAAAACCCCACTGCTGAAAAGGGTGGCCTGTAGGCACAAATGCCTATAACCCATGTCTTGCTATATCGCCAGATCTGGACATTTCTTGTCTAAGGATTAGATTTGCATCCCTGTCATTACTTTATAAATAACTCGCACTTGATACTCCTTCCTCCTCCTCCTTTCTCCAGAAGAACATCCCTGTGAGGTGGGTTGGGCTGAGAAAGAGTGATCGGCCCTGTCATGCCCCCGTCGTGAGTCTGAATCTGTGGGGGAAGATGAGCCGGAACCGGAGCCGATGGAGACTGAGGGGGCGGCTTCACTGGCTTGGGAGGAATATGGGGAGGAGCAAGCCCGAGTCAGGCCAGGGCCTTTCAGGATTGGGACGGCTTGTAGGCCGGGAGGAAGAGGGGCAGGATGATGAAGAGAGGTTAAGCAGGGAACTTGAGAGACAAGAGCTCAGGTGATGAGCAAGGACCATCCCCTCCTGATCCTTGAGCATGGAGAGTGGAGAGAAGCTAAGAACAGCGCAGACAGGGTAGACTACTCAGGAGGACAGCGCCCCTGCCCCTCTTCACAGGTACACCTGGGCACTGAGCCTTAAGGAGATGCTGTGGGGAGCGACATTTGTCGGGAACAAACACCGAATTCCTGGAACGTTGAGTGCCTATGTAAAACATTTTCTGGATTTCCTGCTTTCTCCTTGGCTTCCTGGATTAATTCCATTGCTCTTTTGTTTCCTGAACTCCTTGACTTGCCCTGCTGGATTTCCTGCTATGTAGCCGCGGTGATCCCAGCGTTGGGCTGGACTACTCGTAGCCAGAGGCTGCTGAAGGTGTAGGAGTGTACGTGTCATCACTTCGCTTTGGGACTTGCCAGAAACGTGGGAGCCTTTGGGAAAATTGGGAGCAATAAAGGGGCAGTTTGAATCGCCGGCTGCCTCCGTTACCTCTGTGCCGTGCCCTGGATCATCCCAGGGCCTCCAAATTGCCCAGGCCTCAAGAGAAAGATGATTTGAATAGTGTAAAAAGATCCATATCACAGTCAGTGTGGGTGTCAGCCATTGGCAATCCTGTGGCTGCATCGAAGCAAAGAAAATTGGGGTGGTGGAGAAACCGGATGGTTTCACAACTCACACCTAAAACAACCTTTCTCAAGCTTTTACGTTGAGTAGACTTCCATTCCAGAATTCCCTAGCCAGCAAACTGTACTGTAAGATGTATGGATGGTAGATGGGAGTTGAAGTCTACTCATCTTAAAGCCATCATGGTTGAGAAAGGCCAACCTAGAAGAGAATGGATGCCCGAGACGGTCGAAGGATTCTTGCCTTGGTTAGGGAGTTGGACTAGAAGTCCTTAAAAGCCCCTTCCAGCTCCAAGATTCTATGGGATAGAGAATACTTAGAGCAGAGGTCTCCAAACTTGGCCACTTTAAGTCTTGTGGACTTCAACTCCCAGAATTCTCCAGCCAGCATAGTTTACTCTCTTGTAATCCTTTCCTCTGCAATCTCACTTCGCTTTAGGAGATTAAGAGAAAGAAAAAAAGCAGGCATGGCTGGCTTGGGAATTCTGGGAGTTGAAGTCCACCAGTCTTAAAGTTACTAAGTTTAGGGATCCCTGAGTTAGAGGAAGGAATGAAATTTTGTGGGGACCTGATCCTGCCCTGGTCTTGTCCAGTCACTGGACACCAATTTAGCAATGCAGAATTTGAAAAAAAGAGATCAAAATCTTTGCCAACTGGTATTCCCTAATTTAGCAAAACACACACACACAAAAATTAGCAAAACCTCTGGGACCTTAAAACGCCTAGTAAATTCTTTTAAAAAGGCCTTAAAGCATTGACATCTGATGAAATGTTTACTTACCTCTGCAGCTGGATATTGAATATGAATACCTGAACGTTAAAAGGAATTTAATTTTGTTTCCCTTGTTCCTCGCTGCAGCTGATGCAGGCTTATAAAAATCTTATTAGAAGCTACTCTCTGACCACAGGAAATGCATCCAGTTTCCTACGACCATGCTGCAAATTCCCGTCTTACCTCGGAGCCATTTCAACAAGTAGTTATCGTCCTGCGCTGGAAGACCTGGTAAGATATCTTGAACATTCTCACGGAACTATAGTAAAAGGGAGAGAAAACTGTGTGGGTGTGATTACATTCAGGTAGCGGCCTTTCACTTCTTGTTCAAGTCACATAATGTTTTCTTGGAAATCAGCCAAAATAAAATAATGGTTAGATTTACGCCCGGCAGAGAAGGCGATCCTGCCTTTCTTTGAAGGCATGTGATTGATTTATAACTCACAGTGGAGGGAAAGTCAAAGAAAAATGCCAGCAACTGGGAAAGTTGGGAAGCGAAAGGCACACTTTTCAATGGGAGGGACTTGAATTCCCAGGAGCCACGGTGGCGCAGTGGTTAGAAGGTAGTATTGTGGGCTAATTCTGCCGGCTGCCAGCAGTTTGGCTCAAGGTTGACTCATCCTTTTGTCCTTCTGAGGTCGGTAAAATGAGGATCCAGATTCTTGTGGGGGAATATGCTGATTCTGTGAACTACTTAGAGAGGATTGCAAAGCACTGTGAAGCGGTATATAAGTCTAGGTGCTGTTGCTATGCCCTCCCTCCCTCCCTTCCTTCCTTCCTGTCAGAATGCAGAATTGCAGGCAAACTCTGCCCACAGTCAAGAGTTTGATCCAGACCAGCTCAAGGTTGATTCAGCCGTCCATCCTACTCAGATCTGTAAAATGAGGACCCAGATTGTTGGGGGCAATAGGCTGACTGTGTAAACCTGCTCAGAGAGGGGTATAAGGCACTGTGAAGTGGTATGTAACTCTAGGTGCTGTTACTATTGCCCTTCCTCCCTCCCTCCTACCCATTCTTTTCTTCTCATTTCCTTCCTTCCTCCTTCCTTCCTTCCTCCACTGCCAGCAGTTCGATCCTGACCGCCTCAAGATTGACTCAACCTTCCTTCCTTCCGTAAAACGAGGACTCACGGTATCTAAAACCGAGGTGCTATTGCTATCGCCTGGTGATTGTCCAGAGTCATTCATTGTGATGCCTACGGCAGGACTAGAACTCCCCATCTCCTGGTTACTAGCCTGGTGCTTTTGCTACCAAACCACTTGGTCTCCTGGATGCTGCGGTCATGAAAGAATCTGACCACGTGTGAAACCATCCTTCATGACATGAAGCTGCACGTGTGAATGTAGCCCAGGGATTGCGGCATGGGAGTGACCCTGGATATCACAATACACTTAATCCGATTTAACCACATCTGCAGTTGCTACAGAAAACACCTCGCATTCAATGAGGTTATTGTAGGTCAGTTGCTTTTATCTTATCACACAAGATCTTCTCAAGTTCAGAATCTTCTTGGTGCAAGCAAATATTACACTGTTATCATGACCACATCTCTTCCCGTGCCATTTATTACGAAAACAGTTAATAAGCACCGACATTAAGAAGGGAGTGTCTGAATGCCAGGAGGAACAAATTGGTTGCCAATAATTAAAAAAAAAATCAGATCAAGAGAAATGGTCTGGAAGCACCAATTCCTAAAAAGGAATAGCCTTTTTTCTCTCTTTAAATGCAGTTTTAATTTTGAAAACCTCGGTTGTTGGGTTGTACAACCTGAAATGCAATGAATTCTCTTCTGGTTCAGAACAGCAGTTGGAAAGAGAGAGAAGCAGGCAGGAAAAAATCCCAGGTAACCCCAGCAGAAATGGTTTTGCAAAGGACTTTCCAAAAGTACAAAGGTTGCCGCTGCCCGTTGAGAATCAACCAGGGTGAATTGCAGGTCATTAACCTGGACTAAATGGCAGGTCATTAACCTTCCTTGAGACAAAAAAGAAGAATTTAATCCAGATTTCTGCCTTCCCCGTGGAGTCAGGCAGGCTAAAAACATGCATGTTTTCCTTCTAGAAGCCGTGCATAGAATAGGGGAAATAAAATAATGCTTTAAAAATAATAATACTTTTTATTTTGATGGGAAAAGATTCATTTCCTTTAAAAAATAAAACAAAACAAAGCGTGTGCTTACTGGGAAGCAAGTAGCAAGAAACCAGTTTGTTGGTAGAGATGGATGGAGAGATGATAGATAAATAAATAGTGATAGATGGATGGATGCATGGAGATAGATGATAGATAGCTAGATAGACAGATAGAAGATAGACAGAGATAGATAGATAGATAGATAGATAGATAGATAGATAGATAGATAGATAGATAGATAGATAGATAGATATGG